AAATTGATTGGTGAAGTTCAACAACAATGGCATTTGTGGCGCAGAAGATACAATCTGTTTAATAAGTCGGTTTCATTGTTCACCATCTGATTGGTATCTTATTTGACAAAAGACTAACAACGAATATTGAAAATTGAAAAGAAAAAAGCAGTTTGCAAGGATCGACGCGGGATTCTGGGCGTGGAACTTTGACATCGAGGACGAAAGCGGAAACGTTTTTGGGAATGTGAACCGAAACTTTGGAGGCTTTGCAAGAGAGGTAATGTACCTGCGTAAAGTTGTTAGCATTGGTACGGGGTCAGCTCTAGTTGTTTTGGTTAACTTTAATTGTTAGCTTTTGATACTATTTAGATTTTTACAGATACCGGCCAATATGTGATCGGGATGGATTCCGAGGGAATGTCATTAACATTGGATGAACGAGCAGTTATTTTGGCAGCAGCAGTATCTATCGACTTTGATTATTTTTCAAGGCACTCCGGACCGGGAGGGTTTGCATTTTAATCTCGGATGTTGACGACACATTACTTGTTCATAAACTTAATTAATCGTCTGATATTCTTAGGTTATTCCACCTTCCTTTCTTGAGCAGCGAATATAATGATGACTATGATTATGATGATGACTAAATTTTTCGCTTATGAATTTTACATCGCAGAGAAATAAAGTACTTGTTATTCGTTCATCCGATCACGTTCTTTTCTATTCCGCACTTATTAACCCTCGGCTAACAAGTTCTCGTCACGAAATTAGATTAACCTTAGACATCGGGATTTATCCTACACTATTGCCAATCTAGTTACGCGATAAGTAATATATTTAGACTTGATATTGAACGCCGTCTGAAGCAGTGGTGCATTGTTGATGGCAGAGTCGATATTCGATGCTCTACCATGCTTTCCATCCGCAAGCAGGATGATCAATGAAATTCAAGATGACCAGTTCCATTGAATTAAAAAGCGTCTGGGTGGTATAACTGAGATAATAGTTTTTGATCGAATATATTTATATGTTACGATCAACTCCGTGAAATTAGTCTGTAAATAAGATTAAAAGTTGGGGTGAATGATCTCAATTTAACTCGAAGCAATTACGGTGGTTTCGGATAATACTTGCTCAAATGATAATTCCAATTTTTCTCTTTTATACTTCAAACATGGCATCAAAAAGTTCGTCTTCGGGATCATTTTTCCACAAAAGTGTCAAAGTTGTTGAATTGTTCAACATACGAAGCTCTTGACGTTGTGTTGCGATTTCTGTGTTATTTAGTTCATTTGTTAAATTCTGGACATGGGAGTTCACCGCGACATTATTATTGTTCACTTCACGGCACCCCGGCGCGAACAAATTCCAAGAATCTGCCGTATTAGGACAAAAGTGAACATCATCCTCAAATGCATCAAAATCTAACAAGTCGTCATCATCATCGTCTGGGACGACACACGTATCACTGAAATCCGAATTTTTATGGTAATCCGTATCATTGACGCTTATTTCAGGTGGTCTCAACGTCATTCGACTCTCGGTGCCATTAAGGTGGGGTGAATATTCATCTTGCCAAAAATCGTCATCGGAACTAAATAGCGATTCAAATTCGGCATCCTCCAAACCACGATCCTCGTCGTCAATATCAGGATTTATTTCTCCGAAACACTGTTCATAATCCTCGTCAACAATATCAATGCCGCATTCTACTTGTGAGCCCTCGTTTTCGTGTGTGCATGATTGACTTTGAATCAACCCTGACCCTGCTGCTTCCCTGGATGCGAGGTGTTCATCGGGTAGCCCCTGATCGCTTAGCGAAGACTAATTAATGAATTGATGACAATTTAATTAATATTTCACTATATTCGATAAATTTCCAAGTTAATATGATTTATGATTTATCACCTCTGTGAACGAATGGCTAGGCACTTTGATGTTCCTCGCGATAAGATATAGTCCATTCGCGAGAACATTTGTGGAGAGTTCCTGAGTCAGCTCGGTGTTTAAATTATCGCAAATGTGTGGTAGAAACGATAATTTTGTACGATTTTGTGTTTTCTGTATATATTTTAAGGGGTGAAAGTGGAAGTCAAATAACCGGCAACATTTTTAAGAAAAGTTCCCGCCCACAAGATTAACATCAACTTACTTGGACGAGATCGGTCATTCTTGATTGAAAGTTTTCATTTGGGCTATTGTGAATAATTCGAGTCAAAGATTTGGAAACGGCGGGAATATATTGTGATATGGATTGAAGTTTCTAAATAGCAAAACACCGAACAATCAATTAAAGATAAAAATAATGAAATTCATTGAATCGTATCACTCACATCGCAATAACCAGGGGAAAATACAAGCGGATACCTATCAATCAGTAGATTTTTCATTAAGCTGCAGAATACCATGTCGATTGCCGCGATTTCTGACGACAATGCTTTCTCCTGTTTACACGCGAATCTCTGGCGCAGTAATGCTACGTGTGTGATACAAATTTGTCAAGGAATCATCTGTAGATCACACGATGTTGAATGTCACTGACCGAAAAGAAAAAAGGATATCATCGTTACTGGTGATCCAATTCAGCATGAATGTTAACTGTGTTAATGTCCCGAATGGTTGCCGGACGATCGAATCTTCGGTGAATGATGGTGGCGAGCATTGTTTACCCGAAGCATAGATCCAATAGCCTATTATGATAAAGAATCAAATAACTACGCCTCAATTGTCATAATAAATTTACGTGAATTCGCATACGAATCATAACTTACGCTTGTTAAATTGTCGATGTTTCGATTTAACTTCTGGCTCCATGTGAGAAAATCCAAACTGTCTCCAAACCTTGAAGTATAAAATAACATCCTTTAGATATCGCTCATTTCATTTCATTTGTTCAATACACGCTTAATGGTCCTTCAATAAGTACCTCGGGTCGACAAAGGCGTCTTAGAACTATATTCTCTTTGCTCGCGTTAAGACCGAACAATTTGCCGTCTATCCGATTTACAAAGTATTTGGAAAAGACCGAGTCAAGGGGAAGGGGGTAAACGCGTGGCCCGCATCATTGCTCGGAAGGCATACAGAGTAAAGGATATATTGACGAGAAGTCTTCCTTCAGAAAGTAACACGTCCATTTTCTTCATGTCTTCCTCGCCAAGTTGCCCCACGGTTGGGGGCAACTGAACGTTGTACTCAATATTCTGAACACAAGTTACCTTCAACATCGTAAAGTGGGTTTGCTCGGTAATCTTGTAGGCCGCTTTGAGACAGTTCGATGTCAAACACATGGTCGATGAACGTTCCACCGTGTGAGTTGGAATGGTCTGTGTTGCGACGTTCTTCGCGGAAGACATGATGCAAATGGTTTTTCGATAGTACTGTATATTAAAATATTGTTGATTGATATAATTTTTCACATGGAATTAAACTTTTATTGGCTATTTAAAGTAATGTTACTGGTCCATCCACAGAAACTCGTTGCATTGTCTCCGTTTAGACGAACCGTGCTTACATTAAAGAATTTTAATAAGCATAGTAGATAATACGGAATTATTATCCTTCTCTAAAGCAAAATAAGTGCGACCACACGTTCCTTTATCTTGGAAAAATGATAATGAAAACGCATTAAGTTCGTCTTCTGCCATTAGAAAAGTTTCGAAAGTTGTGAACTCTTTGATATCTATGTCCATATAATAAATTGCAATATCATTTGTGGGATAATATAGCACGTGATGACATAACGCTTCACGAGTCACTAGTCACAGCTATAAGCATTAAAATAGGTTGTCCTTTTAGCAGTGCATTACAGACATGGAATCTCGACCGAAGGAAAATGCGCCAGAAGCGTCGCCATTAACGGACGCAGAAAAGGTTGGGACTTTTCTATGCACCAAGATCAAGTCAGCATCACGCATTTTTTACTGCTCTTAACTGTAAATTTCACGTTCCTTTTCAGATCCGGCTAAAGCGTTTAGCAAAATTACAACAAAACGTGAGTAGCTCGACTGGGACTGGAGCCCCAGTCGTCGTCGCGCAAGAAAGTTCTACGTCCAAAGTATCACCAAAGAAAATTCAGCAACAGATTGTTCGGGAACCGACCGAAAAGGTATTATCGCTGTTCTTCATTCTTGTGACCGGAAACATCGTTTGCTCCGAAACTATTGAAGACTCTGAAAATATTTAATATCCTTGAAGAAACCTCCAACGACTCCTCCCAAACACCAACCGCCTGTCAAATCTTTTGAAGATTGGCAGAACGAGGTTATATCCAAAGTTCTTCTGGTTACTCTCGATGTAAGCTTTGTTCATATCTAATTAAAAAGAAAAAAAGAAAGGCAATGGATAAACGTTATTCTCTCTACATTTCTAAATTACGCGATGTAAAAGAAATCAACGGCTCAAAGAGGTTCTAATCAATTGATCTACCTCGACTCCGTTGTTCAAGAGTTGAGCGATGAGAATCCAGGTACAATCTTTCTTCCTTTCGTACGTGCATTGGCTTATTTCTCACAACGCTAATTTAATAATTTCCCTGGTGCAAGGAATGTCATCGTTCAAATTAACAAAGTCGATTCTCGATAGTGTTCTTGTCGCTCGACTGTCGATGGACCCTAATCAAATGAGTGACGACGTCTTACTACCTCAATTGCCAACGTTCGACTATCTATTGGATTGTTGGAAGAGAGCTGCTGAAATTAAGAAAGACTTGATAGCACGTAATTTGACGGTAAATCATGCTAAATTCATTGCGATTCCAATTTGCATGTGTGTCTTAAAAAACAATACACATAGACCTTCGAGAAATCGGTTTTTAACGAACGGGTCGACGTCATAGATACACTCAAAGGTCTTATCATTAACTATGCGCAATTGGTTATCCAATATCCCGATTCGTTTCCGCAACCGAAAAGGTTCTATTCAATTTTAAATTCCCTCGAGAAGAGATTTCGCTTGTTCCACTCAATTAACAAATGCCGTTTGCTTCAGTTTTGTCGTGCTTGGTCCTCAACAGCTTGTTCCGAGGTTATTAGCCGACGTCGACACACCCGAGGGATTACCTTGGGAGTTTATTCAGGGATTGATTGGAAGGGTTGACGAAGAAGGATTTGAAGAGGTTGGAAGAATACGCTGCTAATTAATGTTCATTAATCAACTAAGCAAATCAAGCTATATCGTAACCGTTCTCCTTCAGGTATTTGGGCCTTACTTAATGGGAATTTCGGCTCAGATGCGTGAAAAAAAAATATTGAGCGGAGATTTCCGTCGTCCGCTGGATGTATTATATCAATTTACTTATTTAATTTTGCGATATTTCGCGATGTCTCCGGCGTTTGCTAAACAATTCAATTTATTAGGCATTACTAACATTGACGGAAGTCAAGACATTCTCTTCTATGGTAAATGATTTGGGATTGTCCATAAATTACGACAAAACTAACTCTAGTTATTCGAAAACTTGGATTAGTTACCAAACCTGAGAAGCTGGAATCCTCCCGGATTATCACCCCGAGCATTCGAGGTTGCTTCTTTTTTGGGTCCATTCAGTCGAATTTCGGCCTTTCCCATGGATGAGGTTTTTTTTAAGTTTAGTCATTCACTCTTGCGCCGATTATGTCCAAAGTCAAAAATTAAACTGTGTTTTTATTGTAGCCGGCTATTCCCGAAAGTTATTTCGGTAACGTTCAGCAAAGACGTCAAGCCGACGTAGAATCTGCGATTATAAGTTTGAGGGGAGCTATTCAGGGAGTTCAAGTAACTAGTCCAGAGAATTTTTCTCATTAATGGCAGTATTCAGAAAGGTTGCAATTAATCAATTCCATTACATAATATAGAAATCCATGTTTAAAATATTTAATAATATCATCCGTTCTTCTCCGTCAGCTAGAGAAGGTGTGCTTGATTACATTGCCACGGTCATAAAATTAAATGAGAAGAGAGCTCAAATACAGGTTAATATTGCATAACGACACTTTTTACATCCCAATCAGCAATGCTCGTTCATGTATTTATGTCATATCCTAATCTCTTTAGGTTGAGCCGCTGCAAGTAGGGACAGATGGGTTCTTGATGAATTTGACCAGCGTTTTGTTGACCCTTGCGGATCCCTTCATGGATGTCAATTGCTCCAAGGTGATTCGCTAGTATAATCAAATCTTTCATTGTTAATACACCAAATTCTCACTATTTATTGATTTTAAAGATTGATCGCATTGACGTCGACTATTTTCGAAAGTCCAAGAGAATTGATGTTAGCCAAGAGACAAAAATTAAAGCAACCCAACAAGAGTATGATGAATATTGCGCATTGCCGACCAGGAATAATGACGGTTAGTGGTAACCCAAAAGGCAGGGGAATTAGGGGGTTTGACTTTATGCTAACGACTTCTTAATAAATGATAGCACCCAACTTCATATCGGAGATATTTTTCCTTACAATAGCAGCGCATCATTATGGACCTTTGCATTGTTATGAAAAGTACAATAATTTGATCAAAGATCTATCGGAACTTCAAAGACAATATGAACGAATGAGATCGGATCAACCTAATTGGGCAGGGGTAGGACGCACTAGTAGAATAGATTTGGTTCGTATTTCAAACATCCATCGATTTAATATTTCGCGATTTATGATTTCTAGACCCCTAACGCTTTATTAAACGAGGAGCTACTAAAGCGCATTAAAGTTTGTACCCTCTTGATGGTTAAATGTATGCTTGATCTTTAAATTTCAACCTTGGCGTTCTGATCTTTATCATTCTTTTATTACCAGACACAACTCGATAAAGGAGCTTCACACAAGATAGCCTATGATTCGCAACTTTTAGACAACACGGCGTTATCTCATTCGCTCCAATTTTACAATTTGGTTATCAATTGGATATTGCGAATCGTCGATCCTATCGGAAAACATCCTGCACCACAAATACAGTATGCCTCTCAATATTATTACACGTTTATTGGTTGTCAATTAGATGTCGTTAAAATATCATATATCTAAAGATTGCCGTTGCCGAAGACGCCGCCAGAGGCTTTTACGATGTTGCCGGAGTATATCGTCGATGATATAACGGAATTCTTCTTGTTCATTGCAAGGTATGAGGATACATGCATCTTTGAACTGATTAATTGATTATCTAATAAAGGCAAATCCTTTCAGGTATAATCCTAAAGTCTCTCTTATGAATTCACGTGAGGAGTTGGTCGTCTTCATAATCACGTTCCTCAATTCTTCGTCCTACATCAAGAATCCATACCTAAAGGCCAAGTTGGTGGAAGTAAATAGGAAAAAATTATTATTATTATTATTCCGTCAAATATCATTTGCAGAAAATGGAAAATAAGTTTTATTCATCATTACGTATTAGATTTTGTTTCATTATACCTTGTACGGCGAAAACGAAGGTGGAATGGGCGCAATTTTGGCAACTCATCCCATTTCATTAAACCATCTGATGTCATCCTTAATGTCGTTTTACGTTGGTAAGTCGATTTTTTCATTTGCATTGATACTTTACGATTTTATTGAATATTTTTCATGCCCTCATATTTCTAGAGGTCGAGCAGACCGGAGCGCACACACAATTTTACGACAAATTTAATATCCGCTATAACATTTCACAAATCTTTAAAGCAATATGGAACAATCATACTCACAAAGAGAAACTGAAGGAAGAAAGTCGGTAAGTTTAGGTTTATTATTTGCGTTTGCATTTGCGTTTCATCATGGTCGGGATAACAGGAAAGCAACATATACCAATAGGAAGATGGAATCTTTTGTTCGTTTCGCCAATTTGCTCATGAACGACGCGACATATTTGTTGGATGAGAGTTTAACAAAATTAACGGAAATCCACAATATACAAGTTGAAATGGATAACAGGGTGCAATGGGATAATCAGACACCGGTCGGTTTTTCTTTGTCCTTCAGCCTTTTCAGTACGTTGTGTTTAAATCACTTTCCTCATAGAAAATTTTTTTCAAACCGCCAAAAATTTATCTAGCAATATCGGCAAGAGCGCGAAGGCCTACTTCGATCTTTGGAACGGCAAGCGACATCATATATGGCACTTGGGAATGAAACAGTATGCATGTTAGAGTACATGACATCTGAAGTAGTTGATCCATTCCTTACACCCCAAATTGTTGATCGATTGGCAGCCATGTTGGATTACAATTTAGTATCTTTAGTAGGTCCAAAATGCACTGAACTGAAGGTCAAGAATCGTGAGAAATACCGGTTTCAGCCTAGAGAATTGCTATCACAATTAATATCCATTTATCTAAACTTGGGCAAGCACAAGGAGTTTGTGCATGCGGTGGCAAAAGACGGTAGAAGTTATAACAAAGATCATTTCTCCAAGGCGGCGTCAATTTTGTTGGCTCGAGGATTGAAGCTAGACAAGGATGTCGAGGAATTAAAGAAATTTGTCATCAAAGTTGAGGAAGTTAAAGCCGTTGCCGATGAAGAAGAATTGGACGAGGTTCCTGACGAATTTTTGGGTAAATAGATTGCTCTCTCTGTATCACGATTGCCTCGGTTTAACCTTGTTAACTTGTCCCTGATTTACGTAGATCCACTCATGTATAATATTATGGAAGATCCAGTAATTTTACCCGAATCAAAAGTCACCATTGATCGAAGTACCATAATAACACATCTCTTAAGCGATGCCACGGACCCGTTCAATCGAAAGCCACTATCAATAGACCAAGTAATACCAAGTGAGTATATTTAGGTTTTCGTCAGTCTAACTCCGGATTCTCATAAACGAGGTGTAATTTCCACACAAAACTCTAGATACTCAATTAAAAGAAAGAATTGCCGCGTATAGAAAAAAGAAACACGATAGAAGTTCCTAAGGATCAAGAATTATTTGTTTTTGATCCGAGGTTGTGATATTCGATTAATTCGATTAGAAATAGTATGTGTCATACTATAATATTGTACCAGTACACAGTTGTTGAGGAAGTCAACATTGTATAAATTATTATTTTGGCCTGAGAATTGTAATTTTGGTAATGCTCATCTTTTAATCTGATCGGCACATTTCTAAATAAAGTCACGAGAAACAGTACATATATTGCAAAGAAGTGCACGGTGTCACGTGATCGAACAATATCGAACTGATTGTTGCCTATTTTCGCTCCACAGCATTATGTCATGTGACAAAAAGATTAAAAAAAAATGGTTCGAATAGCCGGAACCAAAAACTTGGCTGCTTAACTCCCGAATTGTGGCATATAAAATCAGCAACAAGATCTAACAAAGTGATTTGCCAATCATAATGGAATCTTATCGATCCCCTTACTCAAATATACAACCAACCCGACAATCACCTGTTCCAGCCGCTCCTCAATCACTTCGAATGAAGGTTTCCAAATGCCCCAGCGATGCTCTCGCATTGACAAATTGTCTGATCGTTTCTCCGCGAGATTTTCCTCCAAACGTCCGCTACGTAATTGTTGACGGATCTTTCGTATTTACTATAAAGTACATATTGAATATTATCTTAATGTGAAGGGTTAGCGCACTTAATAATTTGCTCACGTTAACATAGGCAAGACGAGAGTCAACCTCCCCATCAAATTGGAACTTCCAATGCTCACCGTCGTTGGGCGTCCCTTTCCGTAAACCAGGAAGTTTCAGTTGCACCATATGATCCATCTTCTGAGAGTCCATTTATCTATATAGTTAAATTGGAGGTGGAGGTGGGATTTCTAAGAAAGACGATGGAAATAAAGGAACATTTTGACACCGAGGAGATGTCGATGATATATTGCCAGGTAATATTAAGGAATAGTTTAATGGATGTTTGTGAGTTCACAAAACTATCATTGATATAATTCCACTATAGTTGTTCAGCAATCAAATTTTAAGCACGGGCCAGGTAAAAGAAAGAGTCATTGAATTTGTTAAGTCACTGGCTTACTACATACGTTGTAATATGTATATGTGCATATTAATCTTTTCGACAGCAACTTGTCTTTGATTTCCATGGCGTCAATCTCCAAGTTGTTATAAAAAGTGTGCAAGTAGCAGATCAGTTGACCATTTCTAAAATAATAAACGGGGAAAAAATCGAATTGGGTATCTACCTTTAAGGAAATAATCAACTCTGTTTTTAGCCTGACTAAGTTCCTTTGTCTTTCAAGATGGAGGCTTACGCGCTGGCAACCGAGGTATATTGACGCAGCAAACTGTGATGCATTGGTCAAAAGCTGCTGCTTCATCAATAATATTACAAGGTGCAACTAGGAGGTTGTTATCTTCAAAAATAGAATCGATTATTCTGATTTCATATAAAGATTCCACATAACGATTTTACTCATATTAGCACATCTCAAAATGCCATCATTCAACCTGATTTCAAGTTTGAGGATATGGGAATTGGTGGGTTGGACAATGAGTTTAGCGCCATATTCCGTCGTGCATTCGCATCGAGAATATTTCCTCCCAGTCTAGTGGAAAAACTTGGCATTCAGCATGTTAAAGGTAAATTCACTTTATGGTCATCTTGAAAGTGGGATGCCGAAAAAAATATTAAAGGATTTTATCACAAGGAATCCTTCTCTTTGGACCTCCTGGAACTGGAAAAACTTTGATGGCGAGACAGATTGGCAAGATGCTTAACGCTCGTGAGCCAAAAATAGTGAATGGACCGGAAATTTTAAATAAATATGTTGGTCAATCGGAGGAAAATATTCGGAAACTGTTTGCGGAGGCGGAAAAGGAGTATAAGGAAAAAGGAGAAGACTCTGGTTTACATATTATTATATTTGACGAACTGGACGCCATATGTAAACAGCGTGGTAGTAAAAATGATGGAACTGGTGTGGGAGACAGTGTTGTTAATCAGTTACTGGCAAAGGTTTGTTTTCAGTTTACTGTTTAGAGATATGAAATCATTATTCGAAGATTTAGAAAAAGTAAACCGCGCCGCTATATACGAAAAATAATTTTTTTTTTTTTTTTTCAGATGGATGGAGTGGAACAATTGAACAATATTCTTATTATTGGAATGACAAATAGATTAGATATGATTGATGAAGCGTTATTGCGTCCTGGTGAGTTATGCATATTTACATCAGATGTTAAGTGTTCGATCCAGTAATAATAATTAATGTAAGTTAAAAGGGCGACTGGAGGTGCATATGGAAATTGGATTACCGGATGAGAATGGCAGACTGCAAATTTTAAAAATTCATACAGCAAAGGTGATAACGATCGTGAAATTATTATGACGATTGTGATCACATAATTATTAAATATTTTTAATAACACAATCTAGATGAGGACAAACGACATAATGGATCCAGATGTTGATCTCAACGAACTTTCCAGTTTAACTAAAAATTTTAGTGGCGCAGAGATTAATGGTCTCGTTAAGAGCGCTAGTTCATTTGCGTTTAATAGGCATGTCAAAGTTGGGACACTTGCTGGCGTAACACCGGACGTAGAAAATATGAAGGTCAATCGGAATGACTTTTTGTCCGCCTTGGAAGAAGTGCGTCCTGCATATGGTGTTAGCGAGGAAGAATTGGAGCAATGCGTGCAGAACTCGATAATTAAATTTGCACCATTTGTTGAGGTCGGTTAGAAATTGTTCGCTTAAGGAATAACTTGCACGCGAAATTATTATTCAAAAAGAATTTTTTTTTTTTTTTTTTTTTTTTTTTTAGAGAATTTTGTCAGATGGTCAATTGTACATAGATCAAGTTAAGAACAGCTCTCGAACACCGCTTGTTAGTGTTCTCTTACATGGTACGATAATTTTCAAGTACAATTCTAAGGATAATTTCTACATTTTTTCGATTTGTCCATTTTCGATCTTAATGACAAAACTTTGGTAATTAATAACTTAAGGTCCTTCTGGTAGTGGTAAGACGGCTTTGGCAGCCACCATGGCAATGTCATCCGAATTCCCATTCATAAAGTTGATTTCTCCAGAAAGTATGGTGGGATATTCTGAACTATCAAAGATGAGCGCAATCAACAAGGTTTACATTTCACCCTTATCACATTTTCATTCATTTGAACCAGTTTGAATTCGTGTAACCTCTTATATTTTATTGAAGGTGTTCAATGATTCCTATAAATCACCTTTGAGCGTTATTGTTGTAGATAACATCGAAAGATTACTTGGTAAGCGCACGAGTTATCTGGCATACCTTTTATGAATAATTGGTCACGTTCTATTTTTTTTTTTTTTAGATTGGGTTCCTATTGGTCCACGATTTTCAAATGTCATTTTACAAACTTTATTGGTCTTGCTTAAGAAACGACCACCAAAGGTAACATTGATTGGTTTAACGTGAACGTTTATTAGATACCTTGTACTCGATTTTAATTATATATCTATATATATATATTTGATGGCTTCAAGGATCGTCGGCTTTTAATTCTATCCACCACCAACGAAAAATCAGTTATTGATGAAATGGGCATGTCCGATTGCTTCAATTCGGAAATATATGTTCCGAATATTACCGATCTGGGTTCTATTGACCTCGTGATTAAGGAGTTGGAGTTGTTCAATGACGATGAACGATCGCGAGTTCTCAACACTCTACGAGGTCAAGTTTCGTTAAAGGTTGGCATTAAGAAGCTTTTGACGATAATTGAGATGAGTCGACAGGATGTGGATAAAGTTGAAAAGTTTTCCAACACTATCCTTAAAACCTACCCGAAGTCGAATAATTCGATTTCCTTTCAAGTCGAACTAAATGATTCGAGTATGATCGAACCAGATGACTCGAATCTTCCAGGATTGGCGAATTATTCAACCCCCCCACCTGCGGGCTATTGAAAATTATCTTCAGACGTGCAACAACTTTCCACGTTCATTACTACTTATAGTTTGATTATCCTTGAAATTATATGTCGCGTGATAATTTTAGACGTCTATTAAATTATACAGTATATCCATATAATTTATACTTATTTAAGCATGAACCATATTACTTATATCGATAATATTGTTCAAAGGGTTTCAGCACTTTTTTTGAACGTATCTTTTTTCAAACATTTTCTTTTTGACTGTAATAAGGATTTCCAAGGCTAAGATAGGGATATCTTCTAGCGAGTTTTGTGATTGCACGAAAATTGATATGCGTCGTGTATCAAACAGTTCCTACCTGGATTGATTTATTCTATTTCTTCCTTATCCTTTTCGTTTTCTCACTGTAACAAATAGAATAATTTAAAATGTCTAATTCGAAAATTAACAACCGCCATTGGTTACAATAAATATTTGAATTATCGTTTTTTTATTTTATATATAAATAATAGTTTAAATTCAATAAATTTAATTTTATTAAAATAATTTAGTTTGTCTTTATTGAAGCATTAAATAAATGTCTGTAATATCATATTTCTTCTTTTTTTTAAAGAATTGGTTTTTCCATGCTTTATTTGCAAGAAAAGATTTGTTACTGTATGTACACATTACATGCACTTACAATTTATATTATCTTTTATATTACAAACATAACTATCTAAAGAGGATTAGTCTTACCAATCAATCTGTTGCTATTCACCATTGGAATCTAATATACCAAGAAGGATTAATTAGTGTTAAAATCAAAAAAAAATAATTTTTTTCTTGTGTTTTCTAGAAAGTAACTATCTATAGAATAATTAATTGATTTTATATATTTATCTTTAATTAATATACTTTCAAATACTATATAAAGAGATTGTCTTGATTGATTATAGTAATAAGATTTTTTATATTTTTTGAAGATTTTCTATTACATTTCTAATTTTTCAATTTTTTTCAATTGTTTTTCTATAATATTTATAGAAATACAGTAATTTATATATGTTTAATGTTTTATATATACTTAATATACTTTGACTTTAGATTATATAAAATCTATAATAAGTTGTATAAAATTCTTTTTAATTATATCTAATAATTATAACAAATAAGATTGAATCTGATTTTAAATAGAATTAATCTAAATCTGATTAGATCAATTTTTTTATAATTTGTATTTAAATATAATTGAATCAATTTTTATTTAATTCAAATTTAACAAATATCTAACAAATATCTAATCAGATTATATATACGGTTGCTTCCAAAAGTTTGAGTCCACTTACTATATTTTTATTATAAATTTCAACTTTGATAATTTTTAAATCA